GAAGGGGTGAAAATATTGAAGGACTTGAAAACTATCCCCCCCTCTTCCGAATCACCCACCCACCCACACCTCACTTCCTTCTCATCCTATTTTCATGTTCATACCTCGGGTGTATATATTAAAAATTCTGAAATTCTTGAAAGGGGCGGAATCATGAACATCATGAAAATTTCATGGGGTTTCGGTTTTATGAAACTTCAGTCCGATGAACATGTTTCTATGCTCAACTTTCAGCTCCATGTTTGAAACTTTTTCAGGCGGGTGACAATGAGAAAAGTCTTTAGGTAGGTAAAATTAGTGAAGTTTCAAACAMTTTTCGGTTCATGAAACTTTTTAGGCAAGTGAAAATAGAGAAAACCTTCAGTTAGGTGAAAAATATTGGACTTTTTAAGACATGTATGTTTTAAGACCGTCTTTGGGCATGAAAGCTTCGTTTACCAAAAAGATTTTACCATGAACGACCCTGCAGTCCACCCGAACTCATGATCGAAGCATCTTTTTCATCCCATGACCTCTCAATTTCAAGATAGACAAAATAACATTTGTTTCCCCACTTCTGAAATTTTCATCTCCGAAATTTCAGCTGTACGATAACAGCTTGTGCAACTTCAACACACCTCCCCTACAACCCTCAACACCCTTCCTGTCGCTTGTCGTTGCTCCGGATGCTCGAATTCGTCCCCGTCTCTCTCTCTCTCTCTCTCTCTCTCTCTCTCTCTCTCTCTTTCTCCACCCACAACACCGTGCCCTCCACCAATGAGCACTTCCGAATGGAAGTACCTCCTGGCAGGGCCCCAAACTTAACCTTGTGGACAAGTTCCCTCTAGACTTTGGTCCCATGAATAGGTCTGATGACCGACAAGGTGATTTTCCAACCCCAACGGTTTTTTTCCCCCCTGAAAAATGGGCAATTAAAATTAGCAGTGCGGAGGGGTTTTCCGACTGCAATGGGCACCCCCCCATGCCACAGAAACAGGGTTGCCCCCCCCCCCTGCTTGGCACAACGCTTTTTGGCAGGGTCGCTTTAACGTCGTTGAGGTGGGGGTAGGGAGGTAAGACGCCGCTCTAAGGTTAGAGCTGGGACCCCCCGTTCAACCTTCCGTCAGACAATCTTTAAATGAAACGTTGGTTCGGACAACTGCTATAGGAAAAAATGTAACCACACAGTTGTCTAATTACTTATAAAGGAGGTTCAATAACCAACGTGAAAAGAAGATAGCCAATATCCGATGCGTAGGCAAGCGAAAAGAAGTTTCGTTATGAAAGAACCGAAAGAGCAGAAAAACATGAAATCCCTTCAGACAATCACTGAGTGCGAGAGACAATCGTCATATGGAAAGACAATAATAGCTGGTCATTCGCAGTGATTGTTGGAGAAAGAGTACGATGCAATACTCGAGAGTCAAGCGCAAAGAAGGAGTGATGGAGGATTCAAAGAAAGGATGATTGCACTCATCATATGTGAAAATCCACGCACAAATAGGGGAAGAAGAGTGCGGAATGAAGTAATCAAACACAAATAATGCCCACAAGAATTGAAACTATTCATACGAAAAAAATAATATATCCCGCCAATAGAGCTGAAGAAACCTTGTATCACACTAGTAGTATACTTGTAGGGCATGCCTATGTAAAGTGAAGCGTTTTTTTTTTTTTTTTTTTTTTTTTTTTTTTTTTTTTTTTTTTTTTTTTTTTTTTTTTTTTTTTTTTTTTTTTCCTAACAGCCTCTCTAGTGTTAGTGGTGCTGGTAAGAGCAGACACCACTAAAACCTTGAGGAGAGACTCCATCTATTAGTGGGGAGCATTACCTGCTGGAAAACGGGTCCAGCGTCCCTGATACAAAATGAAATAAAGTTGAATCAGAAAACAGAAAAACTTGACAGCGTATTTGAGAAGAGTCTGCCATCATTGATTATTCTGGATTTCCATATGATTAACTGAGCAAGGTGCTAAAGGGAGTTGCTGATGACAATCCTTTCCTCTCCAAATATGAAGGACTCCGGTCGGGTCCCGCCTCTTGGCGAGGAGACGCTGTGGGACCACTGGGGGGCACCAACTGAACCACCCATCTCCCCGCCCTTCTTCAACCAGTCCGTGGGGCCTCTCTTCTGCGACCAGGATAGATGAAAGTATGATGAGAATTGAAACTGTCGTTTTGAGAAAGCACCTCCCGCATCTGTCCCACCCCATACGTATTTCCAAGGCCCGTGGGGGGGGGGGGAACAGGTCTGGACACTTCTCTGCAAGTCTCATGGGGACAGTAGAGTCGATGGACAGCCACTCCTTGAACCTCAAACGGTAATCTCGTGGCACTACATCCCCTCCTTGGCTGACTTCCCCGCCATCTCCTCCTTCCCAATTCCCTGTCCAACAAATCTCCGCTACCCATCCCTTCCGGTCCCCACCCAGCCATTCCCTCGAGAAATGTAATAGCCGTTCCCGGATGTCTTTCGACCTATGGAGAGTGTCTAGTGAAATCTTAGTTGACTTTCATCTGTGCATGATCTCCAGTTGAAAGAGCTGTTTAATTTGCTCGATCCTCTCTTCTCCTTCTATGTGAACCTGATCCATAGACAAAACACAGCGCTGCCACCATAAAACCCACAGGATCATCCTTCAACTGTCATTTCGTCAAAATGGACATCTTTTATTTTTTGAACGAAATTGAAACCGAGTTTTTTGGCCGAAAACTCGTCAAAATTTGTTGTTCCTGAGGGTCCCGCGTTTGTAAAACGCTGGACCCCTTGGCTGTACATGGACCTAGCTTGAGACCAGGTACCTCCAGGTATACCGCGATCTTGACATCGGCTTAACTAATGTGATCGAGCATGCCATTCTCACGGGAGACCACCCACCCATTAGTTGCGTTCCTTATCGATACTCGCCAGCTCAATGAGCGGCCGCTTTTCAGCGGATTAAAGAGTTCGAAGCTAATGGATGGATCGAACCCGCAATAGGTCCCTGATCTTTTTCCATAGTAATCGTGCATAAAAAGGCCGGAGGGATTCATATTTGCATTGATTATAGAAAGCTGAATGATACCACGATCAAAGATGTGTACCCCCTCCCCCGGATTGGGAGTGCTCGATTTTTCAGCAAATTTGATGTTCGCCATGGGTTCCATCATCTTCTTCTTCAAGAAGAAGATCGTCCGAAAACGGCGTTTATACTTTTCGAGGGTACGTGGCAGTGGATTCGATGTCCGATGGGTATCGATAACGCCCCCGCGACCTTCCAACGAGCCATGAACATGGCTTTTCAGAACTTCGTACAAAAGACTTCTTTGGCGCAGAGCATCATCAACTACTGCGTGATTGTGTACATGGATGACATCTTGGTGTACTCGAGTTCCTACAAGGGACACGTGCAGCACATCGAATGGGCACTGCACGCGTTACGAGATGCGGGTTTCAAAGTGGCGCTTGAGAAATTTCAGTTTTTTCTTACCACCATTTCCTTCTTGGGACACGTGATGACGGACAAGGGACTTCAACCGGAGCCGCAAAAGGTGGCAGCTGTCAGGGATGCGCTGGTGCCTACAACTATTACGCAAGTTCGCGCCTTTCTGGGCCTGTTCTCGTACTACCGAAGATTTATCAAGGGCTTTGCGGCGATTGCAGGACCACTCACAAATCTGCTGCGCAAAGATCAGTCGTTGGTCTGGACTCCGGAGTGCCATAAAGCGTTTTCCAAACTCAAGGCCGCTCTCATTTCGGCTCCGGTCCTTGTAAGATCGGATCCCGAAAAACCTTTTGTTCTCATCATTGACTGGCAGCCAGAGACAATTTCGGCGATTCTTGCCCAGGTGCGACCAAGCGGACTCGAGAGTGTGGTGGAATATGCGTCCAAATCGGTGCCCGATTGCAAGGGCAACTACGCCGCTCCAACGGGAGAATGCTACGCGGCTCTCTGGGGAATCACTCACTTTCGCGCTTACCTGTATGGGCGAAAGTTCACCCTGGTAACTGATCATGAGCCCCTGTTGGCTCTGAAGAAATCAAAGGATTACTCGGGCATGATCGGGCGATGGGCAACAGTGATGCACAACATGGACTTTGACATTCGTCATCGGAAGCACGAGAGACACGGGAATGCGGACGGACTAACACGACTGCACCGGCCTAAGAAAGTTCCGAAGAGTGAGGAAGTGATTCCGTGGAACGAACCCGGACAGGAGATCGGACCTCGCCATGGCCAAGTGGAGATCTTGTCCAAGCAGTAAGTGACACAAGGATGAATACGACTGATTCTACCCTCTCCGCAATTCGATCCCATCTCTCTTCCTCTGTCATCATGACTACCCCACTCGCCTCCACAACCCCTTCATCTCCTACTAATTCTGCCCCTCTCACGTCCTCAGCTTTCTTTGCCACCCTCCCCGATAAATTCTGTTATTTTTGCACATGCATTGCACGGGTTTATGGGGTCGACTGCCATCCTTTTGAAACCGGGTTTGTCGACTGGGGAGAATGTGCCACGTGTGCCAATCGTGCGCACGGGGCCTGTGTTCGATATCGGACGAGTAGCAAAGAGTGGAGGTGCCCCCTGTGTAGAACGAACAAACTCCCCACGGAGGTTCGATTCGAGGCCGCCCGTACGGACGGCCCTGAATACGACGAAAAATACCGACGAGTGGCGGTTTGGATGGATAAAATTTTATTGGCGAAATCAGCGGGATTATCATTGGGTCACCTCACCAAACACGACAGACGTAGGGCGACCGAGAGATCTCGGGACTATCGATGGATCAACGGTCATTTGGAAAAGCGTAAGACTGACGGATCGGGTTCGTGGTTGACGGTTCCTCATCCATTCCAGAGATATGATTGGATCCAATTTGCTCACGAAGAACAGACTGCTCATTTCGCGATACGTATCATGGAGGCAACTGTAGACCAGAACCATCCAATATACGGGATGATGTCAAATACATTGTCGCCGATTGCCTGGTCTGTGCAGCTGATCGCGCCCCAATACGGCGACCAAACACAATAGTACCAACGGAAGTAGAGTGTCCTTTCCAGCGAGTCAGTATGGACACGACAGATATCGACGTGCCACCTGACCCAAACCGCTGTGAATATTCTATCCTGTCAGTATTCATAGACTATTTTTCCAAGTACATCGAAGTCTATTCCTGTAAGACTCGAAAAGTCGCAGAAAAAGCCACGTACATCGAACGGTTCCTCTATACCCATCTAGATACGAAAGAAATTCTAACCGACAATGGGTCTGAATTCAAGGGTGAGGTGGAAGAACTGCTCGCGCGAAGGGGCGTCACGCTCCGACATACGACACCCCACGTGTCCCAGTCGAACGGGTTGGCTGAGAATGCCAAGCGTATGATTAAAACTGCCCTTCGTAGGAATTTAGCGGCACACGACACGCATCCGCGGCCCGAGATCGTATCAGATCGTCGGGATCCACCGAGCCACCCTTCACGAGTCCACAGGGTTTACCCCTTTTCAACTTCGTACTAATAGCCTCCCCTGTGTCGACTACAGCCCTCAAGGCCAAGGTGGTAGAGACACACGTACAACCCTCAAGGCCAAAGCAAAAAGGTACACCGAATTAATGGAACGGGCCGTCCCGAAGCTAGCCCGAAAAAGGCAGAGGATGACTGAACTGGCCCACGATAGACACGTCCGTAGCTACGAGGCTCGAAATGGAAATGCTGGGCCCCAGCATCAATATAAATTAGGGGACCTAGTGCAGGTACGTAAATGTGCACGAGACCGGAAACTCGCTCCCAAGTTTTCTGGCTGTTTTCGCGTTGTCGAGCTCGGACCCAACGGCGCCAACACGATGCGCATCGCGCCTGAGGCCAGCACCAGCCATAGCTCTGTCCCCATCGTCCGGCATACCTCCTACCTCTGTCTTCTTCCTCCTTCTGATCTTCCTCCCTCTTCTTCCTCGGAAAGCGAGGAGAACGACGACGATCTAACTCTCTCTCCGCTCTCTCCCTCCTGTCCTTCGTCCTCCTCTCCAACCTCGCCATGAGTTTCATCACGGAGCGGGCTCTTGACGAACAGTTGTTGCAGCCACGTGGCCACATATTAGAGATTCGACAAGTTTGTCACCCTCGGCTCAATACGGATCTTAAGCGTTTGGCGCAATTTTTCTACGACGGGGGTGTGTGTGTCGCCGCCGCATTTCAAATCGAAGGTAGTCCTCACGCAATAGTATTTGCGGAGGTGATTGCAGTTCATCGGCGAGCGGCTCCCAGAATGAGCCACGTCACCACGGTTGCGGCGTTCAGCGGCGACATCAGCTCGGTCAATCCGCAGAGGCATACCGCGATCTTGACTTCGCTGCGCGAGTGGACGGAGCAGGTGTCCGACGTGTGGCGGCACGTCCTCACCCGACCTGGGCGTAATCTCATTCCTACCTTTGTGCCGGATCTTGGCGACATCCGTCGTTCTCCACGTGAGCGGCCCGTTGCAATCCCCACCCTCGTCCCCTTCCTACGTCCCCAATGAACCACGCCGATCCTCTCGCTCCTCTTTCTATCTTCGGTCTCCCCTCTCTTTTCCCCACCTTCTGGCAATCCGATCTTCATCCTTCTCTTTCCTTTTCATTCGAGCCTCTTTCAGTCCCTCTTATCAATCCTGGGTATTGGCGGCTGTGGCGCGAAACTTTTGAGGAGCTGTCTTACTGCTTGGCTAGAGTACAGGTGACGTGGACGCAGACCAGCGAGCATCCTGCGTGGATCGGAAATCCAGAGCTGCTGATCATCCAAGCTTGGAGGACTGACATGGAAGGCGATCTTCTTGGCTTTCTCTTTGCATCGATACAGCCGGGGCGCCGCCAGCTTATTGCACAGGAGCTCATCGCGCCGATTGTGCAATTGGCGGACGATCTCTTGCCCGACATCTATTCGCAGAGTGACGACAGTCCTGCTCTGCACGTTCTCGAGCGGTCATTGGATCCGTATCTTTAGTGGACTGCGTGCTTGGAGGAGCCCAGGGACGAAGATACGCTGCCGTCGCGGCAGGAGTATCTGAAGCCGTACGATATCATCCCTCACGCCTTCTATCCGAGGGCGGAGGAAGTGGTGATCGACGATGACGACGAAGAGGACGAAGACGAGGAAACATCGGAGGAGGGCGAGCAGAGTGACGAAGAAGAGGAAGAAGAAACCGGGTCTGAGTGGGAAGCCTTGCCGGAGGAAGCGACGCGCACGGGAACGGAGGCGGAAGATCCGGAAGCAGCGTGAAAGCGCGAAGAAATCGCCACCGGGAAGCGCCAGCTGGAGTTCGCCAGCGGAGCCAGCCTGCGCATCGGTAACGATCCGACCAGGGATCCGGAGCCGCCGAAGCCCGAAGATGGCGACCCTGCAGCCGCCACCTCAAGTGTCACGCAACGGAGACGGAGCCGATCCCCCTCCTCCTCCAGCCCCACTCGTCCCCCAATTCGCCCACGTACCGATGCGGGCGATAGGCCTTCATCCTCGGACGCTATCCCGCCGACCCCCTGATTTTCTCACCCTCGAACAGATCCGCACCCCGGTCACATTCCCCCTCCACCCCTTCCTCACCCATCTCTTCCGCGATTTCTACTCTACCCGCCAACTTGCTACCGTCCACCCCCACGCATCCCTTCAGCCCGCTGCCCCCATGTTCTGCTGGCATATCCTGCTGTTCAACGCTGCATGGGAACGATGCAACGTGGTAGAAGTCTACTGCGTAGCCACGGGGACAATCCCCGCCTGATGCCACTACGAGTTCTTTCGAGCGGCGCTTTTTCGCACCCTCTCCTCCTTCTATCGCGACTACCTCGCCTCCCTCCCTCGCAGCAGCGATCACTTCCCTCACTTCCACCAGATCATCCGATATGAGGAGCTTCCGGTGACAATGGAAGGGATGAATCGCTACCTTCCCCCACTTCCTCCCCGTCGTCCCCGTGAGATCCCCTCCATGTACCGACTTTACTGGCCCATTCCGACTAGGAGATAGATCCCGATCACTTGACTATTCCCCCTCCCTCTCCTCTCTTCATCTAATCGGCAGAGGAAAACGGCCCGAATCAGTAAGCTACGCGAAGATCACGCCATCGACGATGACGTCAACCTACGCTCTGATTCGACGGGCAGCGATAAATCGGGGTGCAGAGCACACGGAGAACCGGCGGACGATGATGGCGTCATCTGGATGACCATCAATGATTCCAGCAGCACGAGCCCATAGAAGATTGCAATTGAAGTTGGCGTCTACATGGACTCTGGCTGGATCATTTGTTAATGCGCTTGGTTCTTCATGCATCACTCTGTTCTCTCCCTCTCTCTCTCCTTCTCCACCATGACATACAATCAGAAGATCGCATAATTTTGGAACCCCCTGCGCGTCACATATGTGACGAACTACCTACTGAACCCGTGCTATCTTTTGTACCCTTTCTTTTGCTTGTATCATACCAACCCCATTAAAACCCCGCTTCGTTTTCTTGATTTCGGGTGCCGCATTTCTTGGTCCCCATCTTTTGGAAGCTTTTTCGATTCTAGGGTTCTGCTTTTTTCTTTTGCAATTCGGGAAATACTTGGGAATTTACGTGCGCCTTAGTGAGCGCACTGGGAATTGGGTCCGGCAGTTGGGATTTCCGGGATAAGCGGAACTTCGACATGTCCTTTTTGTGTGTGAATGTCTCGGTCACGTCGGGGAAAACTCTCAAAATTTTGCAAGGATACGAATAGGCTTCGGACTTTCTTTTCCCGCGTTGCTCTTTCGCGCGCGGATATGGTGATTTCAATTTTGAATTGGTTTGGGACGTAGGCAAGCTGTAACTTTTTCGGTGCCTTTTTCTTTTGTTCTTTTTGTTGACAGCGCCACGCAGGCAAAAGCCTTCTCCTCTCTGTCCCCCGCATCACTCTCTCCCGCGCTCCTTTTTCCTTCATCCTCCTCCCTCCTCGTAACTGTTTTTCTCCCTCCCTTTCTCTCTCCCGCTCAGTTCTTTGCGCGCCCATTTCCTCTTTCTTGATCATTTGAATCTTGGACGCGTCTTGCGCTACTTCTCGCGCCTTTTCTTCTCTCTAAGCGAAGCTCGTGAAGTCCGGTCGATCCTTCGATTACTCTCGCCCACCAATAAGACGCGGGGTACGGTAGGATCTGCCTACCACGCGATGAGTTTGATTGGTCTGGAATTTCAAAGCATCAACATGGCTTCCGCGAAGAGAGAGAGAGAGAGAGAGAGAGAGAGAGAGAGAGAGAGAGAGAGAGAGAGAGAGAGAGAGAGAGAGAGAGAGAGAGAGAGAGAGAGA